CCTGGAATTAAATAAGATAGGGTTTAATACAAACATCTGCTATCAAATTTACTACCCCCTTCCAAAGGTAGCCCCCCTCCCACCTTATTCTGAGAATATTTGACAGATTAAGAATTAAGGTTCAAGAAGGTAAAAGTATGTGGCATCCCATAAGCTCCACCTCCCATTCATTCCTTTGTTTAATTCTTTCCCACATGGGCAGGACCGGACTTGCTTTTAGCCAATAGAATATGGCAAAGTAATGGATGCTGCTCTGTGATTACAGTATTTTGTATTAAGACTCAGCCTGGCCACCTGACTGGAGCTACAGATTCTCCTTGCTGGTCTGATAAAGTTAAGTGAGCATGCTGAAGGATCCCATGAGGGAAGGAACTACGGGTGACCATTAGTTGCTGAGGGAAGACTCTAGCCAACTGCTCAGCAAGAAACTGAAGCCATCAGTTCTATAGCTATAAAGACATGAATTCTACCATCAATGTGAATGAGCTTTGGAAGCCGGTTCTCCCCACCCCCAGAGGAGCCTGCGGATGAGAACACAGCCTGGCAGAACCCTGATCGCAGCCTTGTGATCCAGAGCAGAGGACCCTGTTAAGCTATGTCCAGACTCTTGACCCAAAGACTGTGAGATGATGTGTGTGGTTTTTAAGTTGCTAAATTTGTGGTAATTTGTAATGTGGTACAGAAACCTAAGTAATACTTAAGCTTTTATTCAGCGCATCCTACTTTTAAACATGCTGACAGAAAGTGCACCCGAAGGCCACCACAGCAACTAACTGGCATCTGTCTCACCGTCTCTGTGATGAGGAAACAAGCTGTTTGACAGGGGCAGGAGAAGCATGAAATGTCACAGAGAAAGTGAAAAAACTTTAAGTGAGGAGCCACAAAATGGCAAGCTTCACCACTATACATATTTCTCTAGATTTAGAGAATAAATTTGTATATATATGTACTTATTTATTTAATATATTTATTTGAGTAAATCTAGAATTAGAAGCCACAACTGGAAAATGAGTAGTAAACCCGATATTAGAAATTCATGTGTTTACACCCTCATAGGTGGAAAAATGTAATTACAGAGTGGTCTTGTGTTGCAGTGAGAGAAATCAAAAGTAGTATGTAATTGTACCAAGGTCAGTGTGTAAAAGTTTTTTCAAGCTAAAACAACTGGTCATAATTGCTTATGGTGTGTATGGAGAAAACCTCTGTCTAGACAAAATTAGTTAATTTGCAGGAAGGGAAACCACATCTTAAGATAGATATATGTGTCACACCTTAATGTTTTCCCTCTGGCTTAATTTGCATTTTGAAAGATTACAGAAAATCCTAAAGTTTCTGAGTTGTAGACAGAAAAATTGGAACTATCACTTCTCTTCAGGGTTTCTGGTAGGGAGGCAAGTCAATAATCCACTAAGGGGGCAATCTGATAAAATAACGTGCATTAAAAAACACACACACACACCTTTCAAATGATATAATGCAATTAAAGAAATATTTTCGGATACTTATCTTCTATTTGGTTAGCAGGGCAGATTTCTGCATCAACAGAATGTCTCATTAAAGCAGTTCTGAAATGAATTAAGTTTTTATTTTCCAAAATACAGTAGGAAATCAATTTAAAGCTCACAGCTTTCTCAGTTTTCCTTTTAGTTCCAAGGCTCAAATTTGCTCTGGGTTAAGATTACCACACAGTGCACTGAACATTAAAGATTCCTTCCTTACCACTAAAGACTGAGTGGCCCAAAGCCTCAGCTCTTGGCTGCCTTCTCTCTACACTCATCCCCTGCAAGAACTTATCCTGCTGGATGGACTTAATTATCATCCATATGCTATTTTTGCAGTCCTAATGAACTCCAAATTTCTCTATCCATCTGATACAACCCATCTACTTGTATAAATCTATCTACTTGTGTGTCTCAGATTTAGCAAGCCTCAGAACACAATTCTGGATCAGCACTCGGAACTGGCTCCTCCAGTGTTCTTGAGCTCAGCAAGAGCCACCACCTTTCCCTGGGGGTTACTCTTGACTTCTCTTACGCCCCTGCTCCCCACACATGCAATTCAACAAGTCCTCTCAGTTCCACCTGTAAAACATATGCCCAGTCCTGCCGCTTTAGATACCTCCACTCCTACCATGTAGCCTGAACTACATCTGCTCTTGTTAGACAGGGGCAACGGTCTCCTCCCACAGGCAGTTTGCGACAGAGCGTAATCTACGAACCAGAAGTCAGACCTGATCACTCCTCTGGCTTCCCATCAAACTCAGAAGAAAATGCAAACTCCTTTCCGGAAGCTACACAGCACTTGACACCGTCTTAGGTACTTGTTTACTGCCGTTGACTCCTCCATAATGTAAGTTATATGGGAAAGGGACTTCGCCTTATTCACTGCTATATCCCCGGTGCCTGCAGAGGTACCCAGCACGTTACACACTCAAATTCATTGAATGAGTCAATGAATTTTGCTCTAATGGTACAGATTTTTGGTTTTAATGAGCATTATGCGGCCCTTACCTGGCCGCAACAAAACTTTGAAACTTAAGGCTTTGATATTCTATCAGAATTTCAGACTAGTAACTTAAACCTGTCAAATGTGAGTAGTTACTTCATCTTTTATAGTAACTTTGGGTGATTATTCTTTTCTTTCAGAGGCGCTAGAGGTATATGCCACACTTGAATAAAATTTCAAGCCATCAGGACAAATGTGTGTTGCACTTTATGACAAATGCTCCACTACTGTAGCTCTCTGTACATGGAAACTGCCTTTATTTTTTTTTTTAAAATTTTTTTTTTTTTTCAACGTTTATTTATTTTTGGGACAGAGAGAGACAGAGCATGAATGGGGGAGGGGTAGAGAGAGAGGGAGACATAGAATCGGAAACAGGCTCCAGGCTCTGAGCCATCAGCCCAGAGCCTGACGCGGGGCTCGAACTCACAGACCGCGAGATCGTGACCTGGCTGAAGCCGGACGCTTAACCGACTGCGCCACCCAGGCGCCCCTGGAAACTGCCTTTAATGAGTGGGCTCGCACATGGGCGGGGGAGAGAACATGTGCAAAAGCCCAGTTAGAAATGAAAAAGCAGCAAATATCTTTGTGTGATTGTAAAATATACTCAAAGGGAAATTTAGCGAGCAGCAGAGTACAGAGGGGCTTATCCACCTGGCAAAGGGCTGTAACAGTAGACAACTGTGGTCTTTTCTCCATTTTGGAAAGTGTAAAAGAGAGGATGGCAGGAGTGAGGGGTAGAGAGGCAACAACCAGCCTGGAGGCAGACACTTTAGGAGGCTCTAGAAGCAATCCAGGCAAAAAAAAAAAAACTGTGGCTACAGTTAGTAAGATATCCCTTTGGGCTCCAGTCTAAACTGCTACAAAGCCTCCATGCATCTTCTCTACTCTGGGCCTGCCTGAATGACTGAATTTTGGTAAACGATCACTGATTTTGCAGAGGTTTCTTTTGGAAGATCTTTGGTATTGTTATCTATAGAAGTCTTATTCATACTCCTGACCTATTTTTCTTTATCCTTGTAACAAAAGCATGAAATACAGTCATTAACCATTTGTTCCTTTCGTGGTGTCAACTTTAGGAAGATTTTATGGTCCAGTAATAGTCATGTGGTTCTCGGATGGCAAGGGGTAAGAAGCACAGTGGGGCCCTCTCAGGTGCTCTGTATCACACAGCCATCTCCCTTTTCAGGACACAGGAAGACACTTCTCCTCTTTCAAAAGTCTGTGCCCCTTAGTGTACTGCTCAAACTATTCCTGAGGTCAGGAGGCAGATGAATCACGTTATCCCCCAACTCTTGCCGTCTTGCCTTTAAGTAAACCTCCTTCTTTAAATGGAAATCATTGCAAAGAACTCCAGTGTCAATTTAGAAATATCCAAACCCTTCTCCAACCTCTTCTGCTTCTGCTTCAATTAGTACCTCCAGTCTTACAGAATCCTCACTAGTTCTGAACAGTAAGACTCCTCAGTTATAACGTACTTTTTAGTAAGAGAATTCCTCTTACCACTTCTACCTGCTTCAACTTTTATTAAGAATAAAATACTTTCCTCAAAATCTAAAAAAGGGAACCATGACCAGGGATTAAGTGAACATAGTATCTATTTTTATTATGAAACATTAAATTTTGACACATTGCTTCATTTGCTTTTTAAAAATCTATTATCTGACTTAAACCTATTCAGCAAAAATGCCAATAAATTATATAAATCATAGTTTGGGTCTTTTTAAAACTAGGACCATACTATGTTTTATGATAATCAGAAACAATACTAAATCTGAGTTGTATGAGCTGTTATTTTGTAATGTTTTAAAGTTTAGCTTAAAATAAAACCCAACCCAACCCAACAGCATGCTAATACACTGTTGCAAAACGTTCTGAGAAACACCCTCCTCATCTGTGAGTGTCAGTATCCTTCCGTGTCTTCCCTGAAAAACAATACAGAGTGCAGCCATATCAGGTGTCAAGGCACTCATTCTAAACTGTCCTATCCTGCCCATCTTAGGAGTCACATTGGATGGAGGGCTGATGATCTATATTATGCCCCAGCCCATGCTATCTTGCCTTTCAGTAAATCCATTTCTTTAAAGGGAAATCATTAGCTAAGAAGCCCAATGCTGAATTTAGAAACAATGATTCCAATACACATTAAATCGAATGTGTTAGTACTTAAAGTCACGTATTCTGAAAAGTGAAAATAATAGACTAATACAGAACATAGGTAAACAACCAATAAACTAAGGCAAATAGCACTGCCACCACATGCTTTAAAATGGTGTATTTTTAGTGTCTGAAGCTCTTCGCAAATTATCATTCGGAACAATTCAGATGAATTTCAATAAAAGATGTGTGTTCTGCAGGAAGTTAGTTTTAGGGTGTTCAACATGGGTGGCATCATTAAAAAATACATCAATAGTCTTATTAGTGAGTATTTTCCATTTGGGTTTCTAAATCTTTATTTTCTGTGGAGGCAAACCAAAGCACTGTCTTAAGACTCCATCTTCAAAGTTACAATATAGTCTCTACCATTCCTAGAGATTTAAAGCTAGATAGGACCCTGGTCCTTGCCATTATCTTCATCTTCGTCTTCCTCATCATCCTGGTCTCCGGATTCAAGTTCATCCTCTTCTTCAACCTAAAGGGAATATGTACATTTGAACACTGTTAAGATTTGTTCACTTCATTTTCAACATGTAATGACACGTACCACTTGATAAATTCTTTATTCCAGTAACTGTAGCAGATTACAAGCCATCTGATTTCCTTGATGATGATAATATGAGAGGAGATATACAGCTTAACAGGTCATACCTGTCTACACACAAATCTGGACCAAACATGACAAAAGAGAATGGCACATCTGGATAATGAGAGTCTTATGACCACAGGACCAAATCAATTCATTACTAGGCTCAAAGCCCAAAAGAGAGCCAGTTAACAAATACTGGAAACTGTGCCTGTATGGTTTACATCAATTCACTGAACACCAGGAAAGCAATGCAGTTGATACCTCATTCATGTACCTACATATTTACGCCTGTAATAATGGATATCTAGGCACAACACTTCCATGCTACAGTACAATTTTTAAAAATATATTATGGGGCACCTAGGTGGCACAGTCAGTTAAGCATCTGACTATTGATTTCGGCTCAGGTCATGATCTCACAGTTTGTGAGTTCAAGCCTTGCATCAGGCTCTGTGCTGATAGTGCGGAGTCTGCTTGGGGATTCTGTCTCTCCTCTCTGCCCTTCCCCTGCTTGTACATGGTCTCTCTCTCTCTCTCAGAATAAATAAACTTAAAAAAATACATACATATATACATATGTATGTACAGATATAATTTTTGGAAAGATTTCAATCTTACCGGGTGACCAAGTTCCTTGAGTTTATTCTTTAATGAAAATATTTTCTGATCCTGATCAGCCAACAGCACCAACAGATCATCTTGCTCTTTTTTAGAATCTGTAACATCCACCTCAAGTTTGTTTTTCTCATTTTGTAAAATGGCAATGGTGCTGTTAGATGCATCCAGCTGCTCTTTAATAGCAGCTCTTTCCTCAGACAAAGCTTTAATTTCATTCTGGGAAAAGAAAGGTGAAAATCAACTGATCTAAAATTAGAATTCATTCTCACAGGATTTTTAACAAATAGGCTCATTCTTTTTCTTTTTTTAGGTTCACTCTTTCTGTGATGATCTGAGGAGTTTGGCGGTGGAGATTTTAGGAATAGAACACACACACACACACACACACTCATCCAGTAACAAGAGAATTTATGTTAGGCTATATACATCAAAGATGGTTATTATGAAAAGATACAGTTTAATATCCAAAAACTAGTTTTAATGAGCTATTTTTCAAAAATCCTAAGAGATAATACCATTTCAGATAATTGTAAGAATAAAGACACAAAACATTTTACAGCAGAGGCCTGATCAGCATCAGAAATTAGAACTCAGGTTAAAATTTTTTTTAGCCCAACTTCATGCATACAATCTACAGCTTAAAGATAAATTTGATCACTATCCAAAAGGCACAATCACACATTACCTTCCCTTTTGCATTTTTTTATATGAATAAAAAATTCCTTTTAGTTTTATTATTTCTACCTCATTCCTCTCTTTATGTTATTTATTCTGATTTCTCTGTCACACTAAATAGGCTGGCAGGATTTAATGTGCCCGTGTCCTTAGCTTGAAGGGAAGCCCACATGTGGCTTGGGTTTTAGCCCAAGCTGTGCTCTTTATTTCTTATTGTGATTAGACATTGACAAGAAAACTAAACTTTAAATGATTTCCACTTTCAAAGTACATCATATACAGTCTTACTTTATATATATGATGTCATCATTTGAAATGGCATTTAAAAAGGCTTCACTTGTGCCATCTTTACTCATCCAAACAGCAATGGCCATGCTGTGAGATAAAATTATACCCCATTAGCTTTCCTCATAAATCGAAGAATTGGGGACGTTAAATGAAATACAATCAAATTTCCTGGAGTCATTTCCTAGAATACGCAACAAATAAGAATTTCACCAAAAACCAACCTTTAATTCTTTCGTTTCCTGTAATAATGCTGATAGTCTTCCTTCCACGTCCGTCGTCTTTGCAGCTGCTACAGCTTCACTCTCTCCTGGTACAGGGGCTGGTTTTGCCTGAAAGTAGAAATTGGCGGGGGGTGGGGGAGGGGGAAGTTCCTTTAAAGTTACAGGCAACAGGCAATTCCAAAGGTTATTAATTTTCTCACTATTTTGAAACTATGCCCAATAGCAGAAATACAAATCCTGTACTGCAGAACTGTAGAATTCCTTATGTATACTGACACGCACTGAAGCACTCTCCCCGGAAAGACCAGCAGTCCCTACAGCAGAGCAGGAGGCTGGGTCAGGATCAGGTGTAGCACTGGACCTCCATGGAGCATGAGGAGAGCTGGGTTAAGCAGCCTCAAGGTCAGACTATAGCTATAACATAGCATTTAATAGGCAGAGAAAAATTTTCAAAGCCCTTTCCTCAGGAAATTTCTAGAAGTTAAGTCCACATTATCTTCTCAGAGAGACAGGTGAGGAAAGAGAGCTAAATGACATAAATTGGTAAAATGCTAAGATTTTCTTAAGTGCTAATACAAAATATTCTTAAATCATAGTGTTTTTTTTTTAGTGTTTATTTATTTATTTTTGAGAGGTGGAGCAGGGGTCGGGGCAGACAGAGAATCCCAAGCAGGCTCTGTGCTGTCGGTGCAAAGCCTGACACGGGGCTCTCACCCACGAACCATGAGATCATGACTCATGACCTGAGCCTAAATCAAGAGTTGGATGCTTAACCAACTGAGCCACCCAGGCGCCCCATTAAATGATAGTTTTCTAATCTTTCGCCACCTTTTTTTTTTTTTTTTCTTTTAAAGTACTGGGAAGGAGGGTGCTGATGTAACGAATACCTGAAAAATGTGGAAGGGTCTTCAGAACTGGTAGCAGCTAGAAGAGTTTTGAGATACATGTCAGACAAAGCCTAAACTGCCCCAAAGAGACTGTCACTAGAAATATGGACATTAAGGGCAATTCTGGTGAGGGCTCAGAAAGAAAGGGGAACTAGAGAGAAAGCTTCTATGGCCTTGGAGAAAACATCACTGTGAATAGAATATTGGTAGAAATACGGATGGAAAGGTTGTTTGCCTGAGATGGAAATGAAGAACATGTTACTGGAAAGTAGAAGAAAGAGATCCTTGTTATAAAGTCGCAAAGAAACTGGCTGAATTATGTTTTAGTGCTTTGTAGACAGTAGAATTTGTAAGTGATGAACTTGGATATTTCATGGAGATTTCTAAGCAAAGTGTTAAAGAAAGGCATGGCCTGGTTTCTCCTTGCTGCTTACAGTAAAATGTGACAGGAGATACATTTTTTTTTTAATCTTAGAGAATATGCAAGCAGGGGAGAGGGGCAGTGGGGCGGGGCGGGGGGGGGGGGGGGTGGAGAGGGAGAGAGAGAGAGAGAGAGAGAGAGAACGAGCCTGACATGGGGCTCGATCCCACAACTCTGGGATCATGGTTTGAGCCAAAATCAAGAGTCAATTGACTAAGCCACCCAGGCTCCCCGAGAGAGAGATACATTTCAGAAGGAACTGTTAAGCAAAAGGGATCAGAACATGAAGATTTAGAAAATAGCCTATCCCTATTGCAATAAATGACAAAGTGTGTTGTGCTGAAATATCAAGGATGTGGCTGGACTCCCATTTGTAAAGAAGTTACTTTCGTGACTCATGGACCCAATCAACCATTTGAGCAGAAGCTGAAATAGAGATACGATTATCTAGGAAGGATCCGGAGGGCCTTCTTATCCAATGGCTTGGATCCCTGTGTATTGCATGGGGTTTTTAAGAATTTTATACCAGCAGAAAACCTGTCAGCTTGGACTGAAGGGGACACAGATGGGATAAAATATAAAATACCAGCAAAATGAACCATCAAATAATGGATTATACTGATCTGGTGAGTCTGACTCTAATATGGCTGTCACCATGGCCAAGAAGCCTATGTGACCAGAACTCTGGCTAGTAAGCAACCTAAAAGGGAAGGTGCAGTCTGACACATTTGCTTCTTTTACATAGTGGCTGAGAAATAACATCCTAACCTTGTGTTAACTATTTTTCAGGGAAAAAAAAAAGTAATAATTAACTCACAAATGTTTCTGTTTTCTGTAACAGCTCCTGCTTTTCTGTCTGCAGTTTGGTGATCTCCACAGATTGTGAGTTTAACTGAGACTTTAATGTTGCCAGTTCCTAAGAGACAAAAATAGTTGAGTTGTAACATTAAATAGCATTAATTGCATCAAGGAAATATCTAGTTACAGGAAGAAATTTAAAATTATTTCCTTTCTTGACCTTTCTAAAATCACAACTTCCAAGTTTGAAAATCTAATTCTAAAAAACCATTCTTGAACTTTGGCGTCAAGCTAGAGAATTAAGCAAGTTTGTGATACATATTCACCTCTGACTTCTCCTGAGAGTCCATGTAAAAAAATCACAAAGTAGGGGATGAAGGGAAAGAGGAAGGAAGGGAGGGAGGAAGGAAGGATGGATAAAAGGAAGAGAGAGAGGGAGGGAGAAACGCACAAGGTGAAAGAGAATGAAAGAAAAAAGAGCAATAAAATTGAGGAATTTCAGTAAACAAATGACAGTGGTAACTGACGCAGCACACCTGAGAAAGACAACTTAACTGACACTTGAGAAAGCCCAGCTGCTACCTGATTTACAAGGCACAACTGTTAAAGGCTTGGGAACTGGTACCATCAGATATCTCTGGAAGTGTGGGTAAAAATGGGGTCAAAACCAGCAGGGCTGGTTGAGGCGTGCCTGGGTGGCTCACTTTGGTTGAGTGTCCAACTTTGGCTCAGGTCGTGACATAGAGGTTCTCGAGTTCGAGCCCCAATCGGGTTCTGTGCTGACAGCTTGGAGCCTGAAGCCTGCTTCAGATTCAGTGTCTCCCTCTCTCTCTGCCCCTCCCCTGTGCTCTCTCTCTCTCAAAAAATGAATGGACATTAAAAACAAACAAAACAAAAAACAAAAAACCAAACAGCGGGACTGGTTCAAAGTCTGCTTAGGAAGACCACCAGATCCCTGTCTCAATCTCATGTATCAAGCAACTGTTCTTCTATTGGCCAAAGACTAGGGGTTTATTATTTGCAAAGGGAAAATAGGATATTTTTAGACTCCGGACCACAAAAGATAGATGAAAGAAGTCAGTACTGTAGTGAAAAGGAGGGAATTAATTCAAAGTTTACATGTCATTAATAATGAAATTCCCAACTTTCTTGCCCTCTCCCCACCAGAAATGCACAGGGAAAGAAAGGCGATTATAACCATGGTTCTCAAAGAAGGGAATCCCCCTCACAATATTTGGCAACATCTGTAGACGTTGGGTAAGTGGTGGGATGCGGTCATGTAAAAAGCTAATTTATTCTCTTAAACCTTTCTATCATGTACATATGTGGCTTTCCTTGGATTTTTTTTTTTCAGTTAAATAAATGAGTTACATAGACACTAAGATTATGGACAATTTTGGTTTTCTTTTCATACAGTATTTTACTATGTAAGAAACAAAACTGTCAAAAAAAGAAACAAAACTGTAATTTAAAATATATCTTTTAAAAATATGTATCCTTTTTAACAATGTAAAATTGAAAAAGAAAATAAATTGCAGAAAGGGGGTGCCTGGGTGGCTCAGTCGGTTAAGTGTCCAACTCTTGATTTTGGCTCAGGTCATGGTCTCATGGTTCGTGAAATTGAACCCCAACTCAGGCTCTGTGCCAACAACACACAGAAATATCTAGCTAAAGTTTCACTGGGAAACACAAAGAGTAAAAATTTTTACTTGGGATTTATAAACTAAGATCATTTATTAATAACTAATTCCCTTTAATTTTAATATAGCTCTAGTGTAGGTAGACTTAATAAAACCCAAACAGTATATTAATTTTCCTCACAAAAATAAAACACTGTGGACAAATATTGTAAATCCTTAATGACAAATTATTATTATTATTATTTTTAAAGCCTGACTGTAGAATCTACTCTGGGGTACATGGATATTATCAAAATATGACACAGTTTCTCTGTGTACGGTCACTCCTCTCTTGGATCAGCCATGTCAGTGGGCTAGGACCAGATGACTAGTAGAGGAGAAGGAAGTGAATTTAGGTTGTCTGGGCCGTTGACTTCTTCCTTTAGAATTACTTTTTGTTTTTTAAAAGAAACAAAAGAAACATACATTCTTTTTATAAGAAAGGAAGGAAGAAGGGTAGGATAGAATAAAAAAGAGGAAAGAAAGAAAAATTTAAAAGGAAAAAACTCAACTTGTTTAGGGATAGTATACTAAGGAGCAATCTGATACTTTTCTAGACTTTTCTTCCAATATTTAATTCTATACATAAGTAATTCCTTTCTCCCTTTTCTAGTTCTTATTAAACAAATATATTTAATATTCTATATTCTATTAATAAAGTTAGATCTGCATACCTACTTTCATTTTTTTTTTTTAAGTTTATTTATTTTGAGAGAGAGAGTGTGTGTGCACAAGTAGGGGAGGGGCAGAGAAAGAGGGAGAGAGAGAATCCCTAGCAGGCTCCTGGCTGGAGCCCAAAAAGAGGCTCGATCTCATGAACCATGAGATCAGGACCTAAGCCTAAATCAAGAATTAGATGCTTAACCAACTGAGCCACCCAGGCGCCCCTATACTAGAATTATAAATATTACGATAACCAAGTAGGAAAAAGTTTAATTTGCTTTTCTAGATATTATAAATTACTCTAGCAGAAAATTTTTGTTTTTCTTTTTTTAGCTAGTCATCTGAGATATACACAAGTTTATTCCCTTTCCAACTCTAAAAACCAACATTTTTCTGGAGAAAATGGTCTAAACACTGAACACATTCAAGTATGCAATTGTCATGGTCAATAGTAAATGAAAATTGGGCATAAGATTTTATATCTTCATATTTGCAGCTTATAAATACACTTAAATTTTCCTTAATTGTTAGGTCACTGATAATCTACAAATAACCAGGGTGAGATATTCAGATCTGTTAAAAAGAACACAATTAAAAAATAAAAACACTTAACAAAAAGCAAAATACCATTACCATACAATGTTTTTTACGTTTATTTATTTATTTTGAGACAGAAAGAGCTGGGGAGGGGCAGAGAGAGAGGGAGACAGAGAATCCTAAGCAGGCTCCATGCTATCAGCGCAGAGCCTGACACGGAGCTTGATCTCATGATCTCACGAACTGTGAGAAATCAAGCTGAAATCAAGACTTAGATGCTTGACTGAGCCACCCAGGTGCCCCCAATTACCATATAATTTAAAAAGCTCTTGGACTTTCAAATAACTATCTTCACTATCAAATTTTGCTTACATTAGCAAAAGTAGTTCTAGATTAGTGAAACTACAGAGCTGTTACTCTATTATAATTAAAACAACACAAAATAGAACTTGGATCAAGCCAGAAAATTACCTGTTTTAATTCTGCAATTTGTTCAGAATCTTGAGCAGAAGCTGTTGCTGAAGACTGTTCATTTGTGCCAGGTGATGCTTGGGAAGATTTCTACAAATACCATAGAAATAAACTATGAAATAAATTTAGTCTAAAGAGATAGGAAACAAAACAGAACTATACACGTATAAGCTATGCCTTACAGAGGCTTACCAAAAATTTCACATCAACATTTTAGTTTTTATATCCAAGATAAAATTTCAACATAGCACACGCTGTCTACAATAGCTAATAAATTTATACTTATACCAAGTAATTATTAAATCTAAGCATTAACCTGAAGTTATATGGAGAAAGAGCATAAACACAAGTATTTATTAAGTGACTTCCATGTATTAAAAGAGCTTTATACACAGCTCATTTATTTTTTTTTTTTTTAATTTTTTTTTTTTTCAACGTTTATTTATTTTTGGGACAGAGAGAGACAGAGCATGAACGGGGGAGGGGCAGAGAGAGAGGGAGACACAGAATCGGAAACAGGCTCCAGGCTCCGAGCCATCAGCCCAGAGCCTGACGCGGGGCTCGAACTCACGGACCGCGAGATCGTGACCTGGCCGAAGTCGGACGCTTAACCGACTGCGCCACCCAGGCGCCCCCACAGTAGCTCATTTAATTCTCTCAACACCAAAACAGATATGACCACTACCAATTTACAGATCAGTAAAAAAGTTTAAAGAGGTTAACTAAGTTGCTTAAATTCAATGAGCTGGGGAGTGCTGAAGCTTTAGACAGTTTGACACCAAAGCTCATAATCTAATTTTTTAAACGTAAACTCTATGCTGAATGTGGGGCTCAAACTCATGGCTCTGAGAGCATGTTCTACCAACTGAGCCAGCCAGGAACCACCCCCGCCCCCCAAGCTCATATTCTAAAGCCTTATGATGATATTTTGGCTTAAAGGATCCAGATAAATAAACAAACAGGATAATGAGAATTGCTCTTGACCTCTTAAAATTTTTTTAACATTTACTCACCAAATTTTCAATCAGAGAGTCCTTTTCAGCCAGCTGGCTTTGTAAAAGCTCCTGATTACTTTTTAATTCTTTTATCTCTTCTCGTAACCTCCCAACTTCTTCTGGCTGAATGCCATTCATCTGAGTCGCGTCACTGTAAGAACCTTGATGCGGATTATCTTTTCCTATTAAAACAGGAATAAAGTTTGAAAAGCCAGCATGAAACTTAGGTTTTTCATTTCTTGAATGAGAAGACTTAAATATAAAAATATAAAATTTCCTTAATTCAATTACTTTGGTGGCACTTTTGTAATAAGCACATTTCATTTTTGCAGAACAGTGTACTGATAAAAATAGTGAAGTGATGATATTTTCAGGTTTCTGGGGAGAAACACAGCATAGTCTTATTAAGACTAAACTGCATGGTTTGGTGATCTACAATTAAGAATTACAGTAGTTTCAATTCCAATTTGGTCAATTAATATAAGAAAACAAAATCCCTTTTAAAATCTTCACAAAGGAATAGTATTCTATGTGGACTACAATAACTGACAGATTATTGTTATAAATAAAGGAAGTAAGAGGTAATTTTTTCTGAAAATTTTAGTCACCTTCATATAAATAAAACAAACTGTATTTCTAATGTTTATTTATTTTTGAGACAGAGAGAGACAGAGCATGAATGGGGGAGGGTCAGAGAGAGGGAGACACAGAATCTGAAACAGGCTCCAGGCTCTGAGCTGGTAGCACAGAGCCCGACGTGGGGCTCGAACTCACGGACCGTGAGATCATGACCTGGGCCGAAGTCGGATGCTTAACTGACTGAGCCACCCAGGCGCCCCCAAACTGTATTTCTAAATAGCTAGCATTCCAATCATAGGCACTACAGGATGATGCTATTTATAAGTATTTGACTTACCTGTGCCAGGCACTGAACTAGAATTCTATATATTAAAATTCATTTGATTCTCAGATGACACAGATGCTATTATCAGTTCCATTGTGCAGATGAGGAAACAGAAAGATTAGAGCAGTCATGCTCAGTTGGCTATACATCAGAATCACCCAGAAGCTTGTAATAATTATTAATGCTTGGCTCCAACCCAACCCAACCCAATCAAACATTTGAGTGGGGTCTCAGTATTGGTGGTATTAAAAAAAGAAAAAAAATATCTCAGGATAGTCTAACGTGCAGCCAAGGCTGAGAATCAACGGAAAAGATACTGAAATAGGTACCAAGAAACCTGTGCTATAAACTCTGATTTACACATTTGTTATAGTGATTAAGGTTAGAGAAAGACTAGTCCGCAAGAATAACCTGTTAGATTCAGTCCAGCTTTTGAGGACACTAGAACAGTTACAACCAGTTATACCTACCTAGCTGTACTTTAAGAAGATTATACTGATCTTTGTGTTGCTGAATCTGAGATACTTGCTGTGTGACTGCTGTCTGGAGCTGTTCATTTTGACATTTTAACGTAGAAATTTGCTGCTTTAATTCCTCAAGCTGCAGATCCTGTAAAACAAAACATAATTTAAGTGTTTAAATTTATACTAATTAGCATTAAGAAGATGAGCAAACTAAAAATCAGAGATCATTCTGGGTCATGATGTTAAGGTACTCAACAATTCCAGAATCACTCAACCATTAATAATACATTAATGTATGCACAAAGGTCAACTAACATGTAGCGGACCATAAAATTTCCAGTAAGGCCCCGTTAATAATAAGCACAATAGCACAGCCTGCAATCTCACTGCAATTACTGGGGTGGGGAATGGTCAATTTTAAAAACTCCATTCTATGGTCCATCAAACCATTTAAGAAATTCATACCAAACTATTTAAGAAACTCAGTATATGTATACATGCATCTATATTACTTTTAACATAAAAGATAATTTCTAGAATAGAACATTTAGAAAACCAAAAAAAAAAAAAGAACTTCCAACTCTCACCACCCTAACATAACTAGTTGGATATGATCTGTTTCTTTATTTTCTTCTAATTTTTTTCCAATCCAAGTGTTTTAAACTTGTCACACTCAGCCGATATGTCATTCTGTAGCTTTTACTTACTATTCAATTATAAGTTCCCCATATTACTAGTTTTTTGCAATCATAACTTTTAATGTTTACTCAATATCAGTAGATGCAATTTATATTCAAAAGCAACACCGAGGATGCTTTCCATTTTTCTAGATAATAATTATCATTACAATAAATATCATAGTCATATTTTCATTTCCCTGTATTCTGAAGAATTTCCTTAGGATGGATTCTCAAATGTCATTCAGTTTATATAAATATTTTATAGCTCTTAATGCTTATTGCCTAATTTTCAAATGGCATTTTAAATGATGAGAATATTTAAAATTAACATTTCTAAAGCACAGTCATTATAGTAATTGTGTCAAATCACTCTTTTCTTCTTCCAAATTAACCATATTTATCAGCCCCAAGTGTAGGCTGTAACATCACATTCCAAGTATTTATTTTCCATTGCTCTAAAGATATTACATCTTACCATCTGGAAGTGACTCCATATTTGTACTAAAATATAGATGAGAAACCCTAATAACCATGGGTGGGTTAATGATTTAAGTTTGAATCATCCAAAGAAGATTCTAATTTACTGATTGCTTATAAACTGAAAAGCTCAGACTGAATGCTAAATATACCACTATATTTTTATTCTTTCTCAGAATTCCAATCTCAACAATATAGACTGTGGGGAAGAACACACAGCGGTTCTCGTTTAGAGGGCTCTACCCAAGCTTGCACTTGCCACACGGGCCTCAAACTGTGTACAATCAGCAGGGGGTGGAGGGCAGTGCAGGGCAGAGGGCGCAACCTGCTTCACTGGGCTGTCACCAGTATATTGTTTCTAAATGACACTGGCATTTTAATAACATCAGTACTGTCATCTTCCAGGTAATACTGCAGCACTGTTTAGGATTCCAATCAAGGTATATACCATGATGAGGAATTAAATTAGAGAAAGAAACAAGAAATACACTCTGAAGAAATGTAATAGAAAGTTTAAGGTGCTCAAGATAATGCAAGAGTGGAATTCTCTGGTGTTCTGAAGAGAAAATGTCAGCTGATGATTCTGAGAACGCAGTTTTGACTTTCATCATCACTCTCCACTCTCAATCAACTCCTTCTGCTATTCTCAGCATCATCTATTCAGATGTGAAAGACAGAGCTCTAAGGATTGTATCCGACCCTTTATGCTCCCTACACATACATCCAGTCAGTACCAGGTCCTGCTAGTTTCATCTGCTTTGGTCACCACATTTCTCAGATCTGCCCCCTCTACACTACATAGCATGAGTTTTAGGGTCCCAGTAACACACATGTTTTTGAATTCTGTTCCACCAGAATTTTGAATTCTGTTTCCACTCTGTCACTCTCCAGAGTGACCCTGGAGAAGTTTAAATTCTGTAAGTGTTAGATTCCTCATTGATTTTTATATGAAGGTATTAATTATGTTGTAGGGACGACATGAAAATTAAGCAAAACAGTGTTTAAAATGTGCTTTGTGAGCACCCAAAACACAATAAACAAAAAACAGCAGGCATTATCATCACTGGCACCATCAATGCCCCAATATCCTCCCCAATGCCTGCCATACCACCTCCCTCCCTCCAACTTTGCCTTTCAAGTTTCTACTTGGTGCAGCCACCAAGTGTCCCAAGTACATATAATAACACGTCCTGCCCCTCTCCCCTATTTCTCCTTTTGCCCAGCTTATTCCTAGTTATGCTTTTAGGACTCATGTTCTGTTTTCTCCAAGGCCCTGCTCTCACCTAGCTAAATGAGGTGCCTCTCAGTGCTGCCACATACCTTCAATTATCTGTATCACTAGACTTAATACGTTTATGTGTGTCACAAAAACCTATTTATAGTTTTCTCTCCCCATGAGACTGTGATAGGGGAACGTGCCTGATTCATGCCTTCATCCACAACATCCTGCACAATCTTAACATGAGCTCTCAGTTTGTTGAATACTCAGGTAGTTCTAGATTATTTAGGAAAATAATGAGCTCTACTTTCTGTACCTTCTTGTATATCAAATGCCAGGAAAAACTCTTCCTCAAAGTAGAAAAGTATCAGTGCCCTAGAAAGTGTTTACAATCTGTCAATACATACTTGCTCTCGAATCATGTTTTTGTAGTGAGTCACAATACTGTCATGCTGTTCTAATGTTTTTTTCACTTCTTCTTCTTTTTTATCCTCTTCACTGGACTTATAAATAGCCTTAGTTATCACACCTATAAAAGAAAGCTTATTAAAAAAATATTTTAAAAATTTAAAATGTTATTTTATTAAGACTTAATCAGTAAAAACATATGGCCTAAATGCATGACAGAAAAGATATAGTCTTTCCAATCTTGCTGAATGCCAAAAGTCCTTCAATGAACTATAGACCAAGAGCTCGGAAGAAGCCCCTACTTTTAGGCTTACCATGTAATCTACATGTGTCCAGAATATATGTATACAAAATAATCATAGGCACTTTCTAATGAAAATCAATATAAACTTTGTCTCACCTTCAAGTTCTTTTACCAGCTTCGTAAACTCATGATCAAATATCATGTATTCTGGACTGGGGAAGTTTGGCTGCGGTTTCTGAGATGCTCTGGAATACAACTCATGTTTGCTAATAAATCCTAGTTTCTCTATGAAGTTTTCTTTGCCAATCCTCTTCTCTATTAGTTGTTTTAGTTTCTCTCTACAGAAACAAGGACATTGAGATGCTTTTAAAAAAAGTCATAACAAGGGGCACCTGAGTGGCTCAGTCGGTATAGCATCCGACTCTTGATTTCAGCTCAGGTCATGATCTCACGGTTTATGAGACTGAGCCCCATGTGGCTCGGGATTCTCTCTCTGCCTCTCCCTTGCACACCTGTGCACACACACACACTCTCTCTCTCAAAATATATAAATAAACATTTTTTAAAAAGTCATAACAAAACACAAAAGCTTGGTCTACATTATGTTTCGGCAGACAAAAATGTATCATTATCACTTGATGCATTAGCAGTCATTTTCCCCTAGCATCTTCCCCCCACTTACTTCATGTAGCTCTCAAGTGAGTTATCATTGAAGTAAATCGAAATGCCCAACAGAAGGGCACATAAGCCTTGTACCAACTGCTCTTCCTCGCCAAGATTTTCTGCAATTTGTCCCGTAAGCTGAAATTTTTGTTAAGGAAACTAATGGTTCATAATATCTAGCGTGTTTTATTTTACAGTTTGAATTTGACATACATTTCATGTAAGAATTTCTACAAAAATTCTATGTATAGTCTAGGCAAGCACAAAACAAACAATGGTACACAGACACACACACACACACAGACACACAGCGTAAGCAAGCATCATTACCACCATAACAGTTTGAAAAGCTGCAACACAGCTGAAGAGAATTCAAATATTTAGAACACAGAGCTACCTCTAATGCAGAGGAAGAAATAAGCATACTTACATGTATCTTACTAAAATATAAAGGATACAAATGGAACATTGGCTGAATTGTGAAGAAAATGCGTTACAGCAATGGGGCAGTTGCTTAACCAGGTACAAAGCAACATTAGTAACCCAACTCTTGTCTGTATTTTGCTTCCCTGCAATAGACAAGTTGGCAGAAATCTCATTTACTTCTTTTAAACTTAATGTTGCCCTAAGACCCCCTCCACTTGCATTAAAAGATCTTTAACATCTTATAAAAGATGTATTAGGAATCTAGACATAAAAAACTGAACAAGAGAATTCATTCTTTTGTCCTTTATGGGTCATATTTCCCAAAATGAACAGAAGGCAGAAATTAGAATTGATTCAGGTTCATAAACATATACCAGGTTATCCAAAATACTATCAGTGGAAAAATCGGGTCTGCTAAGGAAGATGCATGATGTGAATGTTTGAAAAAATTTATCAGTCTGAAACACTTTATAATAACATAAACTTGCTAGGCAAATTTATTCTGTTCCAATTAGATTTAGAAACAAGTTTCTGATGAGAGGACAATTTCTACCTTCTTCAAAAATATTAGGAAAAATAAAAAGAAATCATCTCCTGAATTATTTAGTCAAATTCCATTAGAATAATAAACCATGTTGCAAACTCACTGACAACATGTCAAATAATGAGAATCACAAACATAATGAAGAAGAAAAAGATTTATTTAAATTAGCTAACTGCCCCAAACCACTAATTATACTGCTGCCAACTATAGTTAGACAATATTGAAAACTAGCACATCCATCAAAATTACAGTTTCCTAAATTTTTATACAATACATTTGTATCTCCTATGTGGGACAGTCTCTTAGCTTATAATGTTGCCACTGCCCATATTACATTATATAACCTATAATTTTGTTTAAGAAAACAAAACTTGTTTGAAACAAGTGGAAATTAGCACAGTAATGCATTACTTTGAGATAGTCTCAGAAAATATCCAAAATACAATTATTCAAAGCTAGGCAAAGAATAGATTTAAAGTAACCATCATTATGTTTTGAAAAACCATTCAGACTATTCCAGTTTCATGAACCTTGATGTCAATACCCTGGCCTTTTTATAATCTATTTTCAAGTATATTTAATATTTAATTACACAAATTCAAAATAGACTTCTTCAAAGTGATTTGCCACCAAAGAAGCATTAATTAGCATGAATCTGGCTTTTACATGATGCATTATTCTTACGCTTTCCTTGCTCTATGTCATTACCATGCCCATGATGTATCTTCATGTTACCCAAGTAAATTTAAAAGTTAAAAAATATATAGTTATTCTCAATCGACTATGTGCCACAGAGAACTTTAATCACTCAAGTAAATACATGAAAATACTTCACTGACTGCCCCTAAGTATATATAAAACATTTATTATTATTTGGAATACCATTTGCACGTACCAAATATACCTACGTTGTATGTATAAGGGCATCCTATCAAATCACTGGCTCATATATGAATAAGCAAAAATGGAACTAGATTCAAATGTGGCTCTTCTAAACGTATATACCTTTTGGGGTCTAACTGAAGCATAAGAACAGCAAAGTTAAATAAAACTAGTTAGAATCAGATGGAACATCCCACTTAAATTATGGCAACAAAAGAAGATAAAGTATTCAGGAATGAGCCTAACCAAAACTACAAAACCTAAAGGAGGAAAATTTAAAAACACTTCTAAAGAGCACAAAAGTAGATCTAAATCAATAGAAAGACACCATGTCTTTAGACAGAAAAACTCAAGATCATAAAGACACGAACGCTATTTAAAATTTATTACATTAATGTAATCCAAACAAAAATACCAAAAGGTTTTTCTCTCCACAGAACTAAAAAAATCTGGTTCTCAAGTTCATATGGAGAAATAAACAAGCAAGAATGACTAGAGACCCTGTAAATTAAAAAAAAAAAAAAAAAAAAATGAAAAAGAGCAACAAGGAGATACTAGGTCATAAACAGACAGGAATCAAGGGATAGACAGAAGGAAAAGTCCAGAGATGATCCATCTACAAATGGGGATTAGTTTATGAAAAAGATAGCATATAAGCATTAGTGGGATACAGGAGGACTTACAAAATGTTGGGACAACTAGGCAGCTATCTAAAAAAAGATCAAAGGATCTATAACTCATACTGTTCATCAAGAAAAATGGAACAAAGATTTAAATGCAAAAAATGAAACCAGAAACTGTGAGATGAAAATATGGGTAAGTCTGTTAAAATCTTCAAGTGGGGAAGGCCTTTCTAAAAAGTATGATATAAAATGTAGAAGTGATAAAGGTCTCATTAAAAAAATCCAAAACAGGGGCACCTGGGTGGCTCAGTCAGTTAAGCGTCTGGCTTCGGCTCAGGTCATGATCTCACGGTTCATGGGTTCGAGCCCTGCATCAGGCTCTGTGCTGACAGCTCAGAGCCTGGAGCCTGCTTTGGATTCTGTGTCTCCCTCTCTTTCTGCCCCTCCCCCACTCATGCTCTGTCTCCCTCTGTCTCAAAAATAAACATTAAAAAAAATTTTTTAAAAAACCCAAAACAAAACACCAAGTCAAAAGACCAATAACATATCAGGAAAAATGTATTTGTAACTTATCACAGATAAGGGTTGAATTTTTTAATAAAAAATGAGTTCCTATAAAAGTAGAAATTATTTAACCCAATACAAAAATGGGCAGATGATATGAAATATAAGAAATGAGAATTCATGGGAAAACTTTAAGTGGTATATAAATATACAGAAAGCTATTCAACCTTTTAGAATCAGAAATGCAAATTAAAACTCACTAAGATCATATTTTTCACCTTTCAACCGACTGGCAAAAATACAAGTCTGTTAATACACTGTTGGTGAGCCTGTGGGGAATATAGCTCACTGCAATCTTATTTCGCACTTTGCTAGTGGTTCAAAATGGGATTAGGTAGGGAAAAAACAAGGAACAGAACAGTGAATATGCATAAAAAACACCCAAAGACACCAGAAGAAATAAGAGGCAGGGACCCAGGACAGGGGTGAGGCCATGACTTCTTATTGTATACTTTTTATAACATTTGATTTCTAAATCATGTATATACATATATATGTATTTTAAAGTGTATGTATGTGTGTGTACACACACACACACACACACACACTTTTAAAGGACTAAATTTAATTCTAATAGTGGCAGTGTGGTGTCAGTGAAAACATTTGGTTGAGAATTAGAAGAATCAAATCTTCTATTGTCCTACCTTGTGGAAGTTCAACATGCTATGTGGACCCCAATTTCCTCATTTAGTGAACCAAGGCCTTTGGACTAAATAATCTCAAACACAGAAGTTAAAAGGATAGGCTCTGGATACCAGGATTTGTATCTTGGTTCTAAAACTCAACATCCTGAAACTTTATCATTATCCTTCAATAGCAGTAACAATTAATACCCATTTCATAGACTTGTGGAGCGGATTAAATGGGTTAATACACATTAAGAATTTAGAACAGCACATGGTACGCAATAAGTGTTTCATGAGTGCTATAAACTATGAACCATCCCTTCTAGTTATACAATTCTATGCTACCTACTACCGTATTAAAAGTAGAATAATGCCCCAAATTTAAAATAGATGGCACAGGGGCGCCTGGGTGGCTCAGTCAGTTGAGCGTCCGACTGTGGCTCAGGTCATGATCTCACGGTTCGTGGGTTTGAGCCCAGCGTTGGGCTCTGTGCTACCAGCTCGGAGCCTGGAGCCTGCTTAGGATTCCGTGTCTCCCTCTCTCTCTCTCTGCCCCTCCCCTGCTCATATTCTCTCTCTCTCAAAAATAAAGTTTAAAAAAAAATTTTTTTAAATAAAGTAGATGGCACAACAAAGTTTGAACTAGGAAAAGGAAAAAACAGTAAAATTGCTAGGATAGACTTTTTTTTAAACCTCAACGAAATACAGGTGGTCCTTGCTTTTTTGCTAGGTTAATAGAAACCTATGACTATTGGAAACATGCACAGTGAGGACTGTGTAATAATACTTTTCTGTGCAGACTGTATTATTATGATGTTCATCAAACCATGATTTATAATAAAGAAAATGGAAGATAATTAAGTATATAAAAATAAGGAGATGGTTAACTAACCAATGGTATATTTATTTGGTGAAATATTATGCAACCATATAAAGTTATATTTATTTAGTGTTTAAGAACATGGAAGATATCTGTAAGGAAAGAGGCAGCATACTCAATGGAATCTAATGTATGATCACCCCTATGTAAGTAAATAGTATAGAAGAAAAAAGACTGAAATTTAACCAACAGTTACTTTTGGGTAGAAGTCCCACTTTCTACTTTTTTATTTTTCTAAACTTTCCAAAATGAAAAGAAACTAAACTATTAATGAGTGCAAAAATGCTATAGTGTTTGTCCAGTGTACAATCACAAAACGTTAGGAAGATCAACCCAACAAAATCCTGATGAAGCTGCTCTATCATCCAAAAAATAAAATTAGAGATTAGACCTTAAAGGCTATCAAAACATTCTATGTCATTGCACTCTGATCTTCTGATGGATTCTTTAGAAGATAAACACCAAGAATAGCTTAAAAAAAAAAAAAAAAAAAAAAAAAAAAAAAAGAAAAGAAAAAAAAAGTCCACACTCCACTTCATAGAATAGTTTCATAAAACTCTTCATTTTGTTTATATGTTTATGTGTGTTTGTGATTGTTTATAGGTTCAAGTCAAGAAAAAGTATGTATCTCTTTAGCACTCCAGAGTGTATGAACCACTGAGATGTGGAGAAACAAATGGATGCTGAAATTGTAATTTCAGAGCATTCTGAGGGTTTAGTTACTAGAAATCACAGATTTTACAGGCTGGAATGGAACCACAAACAAAATAAATGAAGCTGAATTACCTTTAAGATAGACTATTATGTTTTCCTTATTATTTTCTATCTAAATAATTCCTCTTGTTCCTACTTGGTGGATTTCAAGTGTAGTATTTTACACTGTGAATAGAAATATGACAAGCTAACATTTTAAATTTCTACTCTTCAAGTACTGAAATGAAGTTCTAGAGTGTTATGATTAGACTCACTTTCAAGCAGTGGCCTCTGGCAATAGAGATTTAATAAGAAAGGGGCATGATGGAACTTTCTGAGATTACGAATATGTTTTATATCTTGTATTTGGGTGGTGATTACAGAAGTATATTAACCCATCAAAAATCATCAAATTGAACATTTAAAGTCTGTGAATTTTACTGTGTATAAAATTAGTGCGGTAATGCATTACTCTCAGGTGCCTCCAAAAACTCCTTTTTATTTTTTATTTTTTTTTATTTTTTTATTTTTTTAAATTTTTTTTTTTTCAACGTTTATTTATTTTTGGGACAGAGAGAGAGACAGAGCATGAACGGGGGAGGGGCAGAGAGAGAGGGAGACACAGAATCGGAAACAGGCTCCAGGCTCCGAGCCATCAGCCCAGAGCCCGACGCGGGGCTCGAACTCACGGACCGCGAGATCGTGACCTGGCTGAAGTCGGATGCTTAACCGACTGCGCCACCCAGGCGCCCCCAAAAACTCCTTTTTAAATGACTGACATGTATACTTTTAAAATATCTAGTATCAAAGATTCTGGAAGCTAAAACTGCTGAATATATCTGTGTTATTAACATGTATCATATCATACTCATACACAAAGATATAACTCCTAACAGCACCTCGGTTATTACTAGCAATACTGCACAATTGAACATATGAACGTAAATATTAAGGTACACTCCCTTTTTGCCAAAGACTGCACACAAAAAAATCAAAACCAACACAAATCACACTCCCCACACACATCAAAAATTAACCCCCGATGGTAATTGTACCATATGGGTTATATCCAGAATAACCCACAATATTCAATTTAAAAATCTTTCAAATTACAAAATTATACTTACTATTGTACATTTTCAATAATCTAAGTAATAAAAAAGTCATCACATTCTTTCATATACTGACTAAAGACAAACTTCTTAACCCTAAATTTTACTACCTTTGAAATAGTTTCAGGGGGGATAGAGAAGCAAGCTTAGGTGAGGAGACACACAAAACCAACCAAAAAAACCCAAACCAAGCTATTCCAGAAAGTGCAAGCATACCCGGAGGAAGCACAGGTACAGCTTCAGACTTTCATTCCCACAGCTCTTAGTAACACCACTACATGGAGAAAATACCCCACGGAGAAAAATTGGAGAGCCACTTATGATAGAGATAAACTTGCTGACACATGAAAGTGTGAGTAGAATGTAACTTCAAACAAGCGGTTAAAAAAAACCATCAGCAAAACCCAAGACAAAGGAAAGCCTTGCTGTAAGAGGGAAATGCCTAAGCTTAAACAAGCGATACATACCCGTCTGTCGATCTTATCACCCTGTAAATTACACATTAAAAATTATTTATAAATATTACTGCTGTAGAAAAATTTAAATCCAGAAAAATCCCTCACAGATGGTCTCTCTACAAACCCACACCAATAATTTGGGACAGGATAGTTCTAATATTTTATTATATAACATTATGTAATTATCTAATATTTTATTGTAACAGGATAGTTCTAATATTTTATTATGTAATATTTATTATGTAACATATATATTATGTAACATATTTTATTATGTATTTTATTATGTAACATAATATTATGCATATTATTAATATGCATTTTGGAGGAGAAAGGATCATTTTACAGCACTGTGCTGTGAAGGGGAAGACACCACTATCTTGAGAATTTCTCATAATGCATTAATTGTGACTACAATGTTAGAGCGAAGTCTCTGGTGGTGGTGGTCCGTTAACTGCTGTTTGGCTTAAGAAAAGCTATTTTCAACAAACAGCAACATGAGAATGAGAAGTATTAAATATACATGGATATGAATATTTAGGGGTAGTTTTTTCAAATCACTAAGAAATAAATGATAAAGATGAAACAAGCTTTCAATTTAAATAAACAGATTTTAAACAATAAAGAGAATGTCTGATCCCCTTTTCACTAGTTAATTTTTAACCATAATTTATAACTTCCTATGGATGATGGCATTGATGTCTCTTTAAAAGCTCACAATAAAACAATTCAATGAGTGTGTCAAAATTAAAAATTAAGAAGGACACAGCACATTATCACAGGGAGGGAGAGAGGAAAATTCTAGGGGACAGCACAATTTTAGACTTAAGTATATTTTTACTCTAAGTGACTCTGAATGTTAATGACTATAGTTCTGCTAAACAGTGAACCTGAACTGTTCAACAGCAACAGAAGTCCATGTGGACAAATCATCCAACTGTAAGTGACCTTCATAAAGACCTTATCATCCACACTTCAGTGAAGCTTTGTTGTTCTCATTAGGTGTCTAGAGGAATGCAAACAGTTACATTTTTCTCTATATTAGTAGATAAATTATATGCCTTGGGGTTTTGAGGGTTGGAGAGCTCTCAAACATCAAGGAGTACAATGTTTAGTAAGCGATGGACTGGTATTGTTTTCTGAAAGGAAAATCAACTGGTCTGGGAAGAGAAAGAGGGAGGTACATAGCTATGAACCACTTTATTCTATTCTCTCTCATAAACAGACCCAAATTCGGCTACTGAGCAGAAAGAGAAAAGGACATGCAAGAACACTGGATGATAGAAAAAGGAAACAGAAAGAGAAACAAAACACCTTTCTGTCCAGAAGATGTGTTTCATGAGGCAGATTTTACTATTTGGCAAAACCATTCTTGTAAGAGTATGTATTTCTTTCTCTCCACACACTGTTTCAGGTTACAATGAGTTAATGAGCAGGTAAGTCCATGCCTCTTTCCTTTTTCATCTGCATCTACGAAGGATACCCTTAAATCTTTGTATCACTGACACAAAAACGTATAGCTGAGATTTTTTCCCCCTTAGAGCAGTTCCACTCGCCAGCCACGTTACCTGTGAAAGGATGTTGGTGCACTGTTGCAATAAAGAAACTGGAGGGTTGCCGATACTTGTAGCAAGTTGAACCCTGAGCAACTGTTCTTTCTGGGTAGCATTTTCTTGCAAAGCATGGGCAAGGGCCACAGCAGCACACCAGTTTGAAAGTGAATCAGTAGAAAATAAACCTCCGCATAATAACTGACCAGCTGAGACTGAATTACCTGTTGCTACAAAGATGGCAGGCAGATGATGATAAAAAATTAATTGTTGTTTTACACACACACACAAAAATAGTATGAAATACGATTTTAAAATCTGTTAATTAGGGGTATTAAGTTACATTTTTAAAAGTCTGCTTTTCAAGACAAAAATGAAAGATGACAAAATGACCCTGGAAGAAGAGTAGCAGAACAAAGAAATAATTACATTTCAGGCATCAAATCGATGAGATAATATTCCAGAAAATTACTGTCTTAGTTAAAAACTGCATTTCTAAAGCAAATCCAAGGAAATGCCATATTTTAAACATTCCACTACATCCAGGGTCTTTTATCATTTACAATATACCTTATCATTAAAAGCTTGAAAGACTACGTACTTCTCAGAACAGAAATTAGAACTAAATTATTTACCATCAATAGTGGAAGGTAGAAGCGTTGACACAATTTCTCCTTGTCCTTTTTGGTTTTTATATAAGAAACATTGGAAACAGTAGAGAACGGCACAGCGCAATACAAACGGCTGCCTTTCGTTAACCATGGACATGAGAAGTACCACGATTGCCGGTCTGTTGCATTTAGAAAGAAAAGAGCAAAAGAAAAATTGCAACCCAAGGACACAGATCAGTAACTAGTCGTTTCTGCTGACTGAAACACCATAAGCAGAACACCAGCGAGGTAAGTATTCTACCTCCAATGCACAGGACAGACAACTGCCGCTCGGACAAGCAAGCAATCGGGTCTGCGTAAGGCACGGAGGAAGTGTGAGGGTGATAGCTGAGCCCAAATACCGAAGCTCCAAGGACCACAGACTCTTTTAAAACACCAACATGTTTATCTTGTCAGATAATTTCTAGTTTCAAAACATATGGATGAACTTCTTAAAAGATGTGTATATGAGATATACTAAAAACCCAAAGTAAATTCTGACTTCCTCAGAGAAATAGCAGTATTTCCCTTTTCCTACCTTGGTGGGTTTGAAGGTGCATTTACAGAAGCAAAGTAGTCTTGGTTTACTTGGTAGCCTCGAATAACTTCTGACACAGTATTAATGGTCTATTTAGGGGGAAAAATAAAAATTGAGAGACAGTAAGTCAAGGAAGAAAACCTGTTTTCAAAACAAAATGTTATATCCTTCTGTGGTTTGCTTTTAAATGCTAAAATTCAGATACCGAAAAAAGGAGTGACAGCATTATAATCCTGTTAACACTTTTTCAAAATAACGCTTTAAAACATTAAGCATAGGGCTCTAATTACAAATAACACCTGACCATAAGGATTTAAAAGTCTCAAAAAATTAAAATCAATAGTATCCTCTAAAAGACAGAATCTATTTCTACAAAACAAGGGTGCTTCAAAATAAAATCAGCAAACACATTTAAAATATAACAAATTAGGGGCGCCTGGGTGGCGCAGTCGGTTAAGCGTCCGACTTCAGTCAGGTCACGATCTCGCGGTCCGTGAGTTCGAGCCCCGCGTCGGGCTCTGGGCTGATGGCTCAGAGCCTGGAGCCTGTTTCCGATTCTGTGTCTCCCTCTCTCTCTGCCCCTCCCCCGTTCATGCTCTGTCTCTCTCTGTCCCAAAAATAAATAAACGTTGAAAAAAAAAAA